TTCAATCCCAAGAAACTACCCGAAGCAATGGAATTAGCACGTCGAATTGATGAGAAACAACAGCGAAGTAAGGTAAAAACAGCAGTAAGTTTTTCTAAATCCCAGGGCGGGCGATCAACTCCAGTTACATCTTCAGGAATTGACACCCAGAAACCAGCCATCCTTAATACTCCGCGGAGGCTAACGGTAGAAGAGATGCGGGCCCGAAGAGAAAAAAATTTATGCTATAACTGTGATGAGAGGTTTGTCCCAGGTCACCGGTGCAAAGCCTCCCAGTTTATCATTGAAGCAATGGACGAAAGTACCAATTTACATGGCGAGGAAAAAAATTGTGAAGACTCTATACCTATAGAGGATCCACCCCATATCTCTCTTCACGCCTTAGTAGGGGGCTGTGGCGCACGAACCATGCGGGTTCAGGGGCGAATTAAACACCTGCAAATCAACATTCTTATCGACTCCGGGTCAACCCACAATTTTATAAATCCAGAAGTTGCAGGACGATTAAAGTTAGTCATTACAGAAATCAAACCATTTCCTGCCCGAGTTGCTAATGGAGACAGTCTTTGGTGTCAAGAGAAGTTCGAGGATGTGTTCATTACCATACAGGGGTATGACTTCCGGACGACCCTATATGCGCTCCCGATCACCGGAATGGATCTCGTTCTTGGAATGCAGTGGCTGAAGAGCCTTGGACGAATTGTTGCAGACTATAATAACATGACTATGGAGTTTGAGGTGGCTGGAAACAACCATCTAATTCGAGCTAACGTCCCTATGACTCCAGGATGGGAATCTGTCCATGCTATATGGGAGGATTGGCAGCAAGGGGCTGAACTCTTTGTATTATCAAGTGTGAGTCCAACTGAGGGTAATGACCAAATGACTGAAACCCTGTCAGATGATGTGCAATATATATTGAAGCAATTCAGCGGCTTACTTGAAGCTCCCACGTCCTTGCCTCCTAGGCGCATATTTGACCATCGAATTAGGTTGAAAGATGATAGTCAAGTTGTGAATGTAGCTCCCTACCGCTACGCGCACTTTCAGAAAACGGAGATTGAAAAACAGATTCGTGAAATGCTCCAATTGGGATTCATTCGACCCAGTTCGAGCTCTTTCTCTTCCCCGGTGTTGCTCGTTAAAAAAAAAAGATGGAACATGGAGGTTTTGTACAGATTATCGGGCTTTAAATGATGTTACCATCAAAGATAGATTTCCCATTCCAACCATCGATGACATGCTCGACGAACTGTATGGGGCTCAATATTTCTCTAAGCTAGATTTAAGAGCCGGGTACCATCAGATACGGGTTCACCCAGATGATATTCATAAAACAGCTTTTCGGACCCATAACGGACACTATGAGTATCTTGTTATGCCGTTTGGACTGTGCAACGCTCCCTCTACTTTCCAGGCAGCCATGAATGACATATTCCGACCGCACCTACGCAGTTTCATCTTGGTTTTTTTTGATGATATTCTTATATACAGCCACACACGGGAGGAACATCTCAACCACTTATAAATCACCCTAGAAATACTCAAATACCATCAATTCTATATCAAACCATCTAAGTGTTTTTGGGTCCAAACGGAGGTGGAATATCTTGGACACTTTATCTCCAAGGATGGAGTGCGCGTGGATCCCAGGAAAATAGAGGCTATGCTACAATGGCCTGTGCCGAAGACCGTCACTGCTTTGAGGGGATTTTTGGGGCTGACCGGCTATTACCGAAAATTTGTCCAAGGGTATGGATTGATAGCACAACCCTTGACACAACTACTGAAAAAGGGGAAATTTTGCTGGACCAATGAAGCCAGTAAGGCGTTCAACTTACTCAAACGGGCCGTTTCAAGTACTCCTGTACTTGCACTCCCAGATTTCACCACTGATTTTCTTATCGAGACAGACGCCTCAGGTTACGGAATTGGAGCAGTTCTGTCTCAAAGAGGGCACCCAGTGGCGTTCATGAGTAAGGCCTTGGGTCCAACAAAACAGGAATGGTCAACTTATGTCAAGGAAATGTTTGCAGTAGTTGAGGCAGTTCGCACCTGGAGACCTTACCTGCTGGGACGTCGCTTCACCATAGCTACAGACCAAAAAAGCTTACGACATCTTCTAGAACAACGGATTACAACTCCCGAACAGCAAAAGTGGATATCCAAATTGTTGGGGTTTGATTATGTCATTATTTACAAACCAGGGAAAGCAAACAACGTTGCTGATGCCCTTTCCCGTCGGGAGGCACCTGATCGTAGGGCCATGCATGAAATCAATGCCATATCTGGACCCTTATGGGCTATTTGGGATGACATCCGTAGAAAAACAAAAGAGGACCCCCATTTACAAGAAATCAGTACTCAGATTCAACAAAAATCAGCAGCAGTCAACGATTATCACGTGCGAGGAGGATGTGTAGTGTACAAAGGAAAGGTGTTGGTTCCCAACGATGAAGGTCTGCGACGTCAACTCCTTGATGAATTTCATGGATCCAAGGAAGGCGGTCACTCTGGGAGGTTGCGAACCTACCAGCGACTGAATAAAGTCTTTAGTTGGGTTGGAATGCGTGCGGCAGTCAAAAAATATGTGAGTGAATGTGACATTTGTCAACGAACTAAAAGTGACTGCCTAAGTCCAGCGGGTTTATTGTCACCACTATCAGTGCCTAGTGCAGTTTGGGCCGATATTAGTATGGATTTTGTTGAAGGATTGCCAAAGGCAGGGGGAAAGGATACCATCTTGGTTGTTGTAGACCGTTTTACAAAATATGCCCATTTTGTAGGACTGGGGCACCCTTTTAAAGCAAAGGAAATAGCAGCAGTTTTTGTACAGGAGGTGGTCCGCTTACATGGATTCCCAGAATCCATCGTTAGTGATCGTGACCGAATTTTTATGAGCATATTTTGGAAGGAGTTGTTTCGTCTACAAGGGACGACATTAAAAACAAGTTCAGCATATCACCCTGAAACCGATGGACAAACGGAGGTTGTTAATCGGTGCTTGGGGCAATATTTGAGGTGTTTTGTCCATGGGTTTCCAGCCAAATGGATCTTTCATTTGCCATGGGCTGAACTTTGGTATAACACCACATATCATCGTTCTCTTAATATGACACCTTTTGAGGCACTATATGGGAGAGTTCCACCAATATTGAGATCATATACCAATGGCGAATCCCCAGTAGCGGAGGTTGATGGTCAGCTCACTTCAAGAGAAGAAATCATCCAAGTTTTGCGAAAGAACCTGATTCAAGCGACTAATAGAATGAAACAACTAGCAGATGCAGGAAGGCGAGAGGTACAATTCGAAGTTGGCGACCGAGTATACTTAAAATTACAACCATTCCGTCAACAGTCCGTGTTTAAGAGAGTGAACCAGAAGCTCGCTTGCAGGTTCTATGGGCCTTTTACTATATTGGAGAAACTTGGAGAGGTGGCTTACCGGTTGGAGTTACCACCTGAGTCCCGTATTCATCCCGTCTTTCATGTCTCGCTTCTTAAAAAATGCATTGGTTCACAGGTTGATGCCATTCCTCAGTTACCCCCATACGCTGCAGATGGTCAACCTGTTTTTGAACCTGAAAAAGTAATACGTTTTCGACGTGTTCGAACACTGACAGGAGAAGCAAAGGAGGCTTTAGTACAATGGGCATCTTTTAGTCCAGAAGAGGCGACATGGGAACCTGTTGAGGTACTACAACAACAGTTTCCGAACTTCAACCTTGAGGACAAGGTTCGTCTTCGGGAAGGAGGCAATGATGAAGTCATGATCGAGGCTGGTCAACGCCAAAGCAAGAGGCTACGAAGGAGTAATGTGAAGTTGCAGGATTACGTGGTTTAGTTATTTATTTGTTTTAATAACTAGTTTGCTGCGGTTTATTATTAATTAATATCATCCACTAAGTATTAGTGTTAGCATAGGTTTCTATTTGGCTACTGGTATTTCAAGTAAAGTATGATTAGTCTTTTTGGTGTATGGGAATCTATAAATACCCAATATTTGATGTGTGAAAGAAGAGGAATTTACATCTTAAATTGGTTCTCTATCACCCTGAGATAGAACAAGGTTTCCTTTACACCGTGAGTAAAGGTCGTTGGTTATTCCCAGCCCTGGGGATTTCCATCAACTTACTCTGTTCTCTTCGCTCGGAGCAGAACCGTTATTACGGAGTAAACAAGTAGAAAAACCTTGCACATAGATTATAACTAATCAATATATTGTGCAACGGATCCATCAACATATCAAATTATCACACAAATAAAACTATACACTCAGAGATGGTCATTGACACTAGACAGGCTGAAAACTCAAATCATTAAATGGAGGAAACTGAGAGGCAGATTAAAGTTAAACACCGATGCTAGTTACTTATCTTCAAGATCTACTGGTGGAGCGATACTTAGAGATGCGAATGGAAGGATGATTATGGCGTTCAATTTCCCACTTGAAGCTTCTTCTCCTTTAGAGGCAGAGCTGAAAGCCATTATTCTTGTTGTGAATCAAACGTGAAAGAAGGATTCAACAGCTTCCAAGTAGAATCGGACTCCTCCATGGCTCTGTGATTCTTGGAGGACAAGGGGGTGCGACGATGAAAGGATATTATTCAAGAAACCATGCTTTTTCTTTTCATGAAAGGAATTGTTTTGGCCCATACGTTGAGGGAGGGGAATATGGTTGCACACTATCTGGCTGAGTCTCATTCGGACCAATTGGTTTACTATAGAAGCCCAGTTACTCTTCCTATTGGAGCTAAGCGGGCTACTTTATTTGGCCTTATTTTGCCTTATCATGTACGGAGAATTTCTTTAAGGGGTACCCTTTTTGGAGAGATTTTGGCCTAGTCCCCCTTTCCATTGTGCACTTCTGATTTTTCATTAATAAAATTTGACAAACGCTCTCTAGCGTTTGGCACACTGATTTTGGTGATTTGTCTTTCGTGTTAAAAAAACAATATATTGTGCATTTGTGTCCTTTGTTCTGGTTAATTGTACCATCGTTGGAATTTAAATAACGGAGTAGAAACTGGAGTGACTACTCTAGTTAAAAATGACAATAGAGATTTCAACATATGCATGCATCTAAGCTCATGAGACCGCAAATCGATTAATTCTTGTTCAAAGATTCTTACATAATTCTGGTTAAAGAACGTACCAATAGCTACAAACTAACTATAACACCTCTCACATTCATACAAAAAACATTTTATTCATTGGGATAAGAAAAGAAAAGCCATAGTAATAAGAAAAAAGTAAGGGCAAGAGTTCTCCGTTGACAAAACTTGAACCTGACATTGCTACTCCTCGGCTTCCCTAAACCCTGCACTTATGATAGCAGAAAACTCTTGACCTTAAACTCTTAAAGTAGGATATTTTAGACTAAAAAGGTACTGATGGATGAGCATTACTTAAAAGTCAACAGATAATCTCACCTTCTTAAAGCTCATCCTTAGTGGATTCTTCTTCCTTAGCTGCATCTGAGTTGTTGGACTCTTCTGTCACAGCAGTCTTATTATCACGGTTCTTATTGATGAAGTCGATAATGTCATCTTTTGTTCTGTCACCGTCATATGGTATTATGTTACCAGTTGCAGATATGAAGTACAATGTTGGGAATCCTTGAACCTCAAACTTTTTGGCCGGGACATCATTGGCAGTTGCATCCTAGCAAAAAAAACACAGAAGTGAGTTGTGAGCTTCATTCAATACATTATAAAAGGAAAATTCCTCAAGTTTTTTTATTATTATGTATCATTTTCATTTTCATTTACCCCATTGCCGCAAAGGCTCCCACCTACGTTGGGGTAAGGGGGGTCAGATGTACGCAGTCTTACCCCTGTACTAAAGAACAGAGAGACTGTTTCTGGATGACTCGTAGTGAAAATCACGTCCAAAATTGCATGGACTGACAGATGCTCCATAACAAAGATGTGCAGACAGTTTAGTGAGCCATTTTATTTTATTCCATCATAATCTCAAGCCAAAAAATAATGAATCTTTGGCTCCATTGCAAATGATTGAAAAAATTTTATTATTATGTATGATGAAGTAAATTTAGTTCCTCACCAGTTTTGCTATCATGACATCAGGTTGACTCTCAAATGACACTGCAACTTCATCCAAGATTGGAGCTAGCTTCTTGCAGTGGCCACACCATGGTGCATAGAATTCCAGCAGAACTGTAAAGCAGGACAGAAGGAAATTAAGTCGGCTAATGGGCTGAAAAAAATAACAAGCCATTGTAGACGCCTACATCTCCTGTGTCAGGGCAGCAGTGGGCCGGGTTTGGGTCGGGTGGAGGTCTACCTTCATCCATTTCAATAGAATAGTTTTTTTTTATTCTTCATTGACAACTTAACTAAACATGAAATCAACATACTTACAAGAATGCAGCATTGAGATACATACCATTCTTCCCTGAATTGAAAACCATGCTCTCCAGGGCATTGGTTACAACCACTTTCACTGGTTCATCATTGACTTCAGGGATAGCCTCAGATCTGATAAATGGATCCACCTTCCCCTCCTACATCCATGCATATTGAATGTAGTTGTAACAAAACATCAAGGTCAGAGAACTATATATATATATATATATATATTCCAGAAATCAAATATGTAGTAAAACAAAACCAAAGGCGATTACCTTGTAGTCCTTAAGCCAAGTTGCAATTTGATCTGGTTCGACATTTGGTTTGATAAATTTTTGCTGATCCTTGTCCTGAACTATGAGAACAGGTGCTTGATCTGCTTTAACTCCAAAGTACTGCATTCCAAATAAATACAACATTTAGGGATCAGCAACAGTAACACGTTCTTTACAAATCTTAATGACCTGTTTATAAGTAGGGTTTTGGATGACCTAGTCTACATTTTGATGTATATTTAATACTCCGTATTTTATAAAAGATGAAACATTAATTAACATAAAGTGGTCTTATAACATTATAATCATCTTTGTCCACCACACACACTCTATTTATCAAGAATAAGCTCTTTCAAACCCCTCCACTATCCTATATCCAAAAAGACCCTAAGAAACAAAATAAAGGGAAAAGAACCTCAAGTGCACGACTACTGGAAGCAAGATCTCCCAACAGAAAGCTGATTCCCTTTCCCTTATAAAGGACCGCCACATCATTGTATTTGGGTTTGAAAGCATGGATCTCACTACTGAAGTTAACAAAGAGCATTGCCTACAAAGAAACAATGTTCAACATGAAGTTAATTAAAATTCCTCACAGTGTTACCTTCAAGTTAGATACTTGTGATAGCTTGTAAGACCAGTTTTTATTGTCTTTTGATAAAATGGGTGAGATATAATAGTAGCACGTGTAAAGCAACTGAGAAAACAATCATGTGAGCAAAATGAAAACAAGGAAAGTAGGCATTAAATAGCAAAATTGGCAAAACGAAAACAAATCTGGTGTACCTTGTCATTAGGACTATCGAAAAACTTGTTAACATATGGATGATTTTCTCTGTTGTCATCAAAAATAGTAACAGTAGGAGTACTAGCTTCAGCAATGAACTTCTTCATCGCATCCACTTGGAAGTCCTGCCAAAGACAAAGCTTTCTAATTCCAAAGGAAAAAAGCATTTCTGCCAAAATGAGAAACTTACCTATGAGGGAATTGATACCTGAAAATCAGTAAACAGCTCATCAAATGGTTTGAGTACACGAAGAGTGGGCTTCTCAACTGCTTCACCGTGAGGAAGAAGTTTGGCATCAAGTGTGTGACCGAATTCATAATCAGACCTTAAACTTTCAGCTAAAGTGATGAACTTTTCAAATTCATCTCCCGACAACTCTTGAAACACGCCAGCCTGAGAAGAAAAAAGTGGATTCAAACAAGGAAGAAGATTAATACGGAGTAATTGAGAAAAAAGTTGATATCACTGAAATCCATGACATTGACAGACGCATCAGACATACAACAAAAACTTTTTTGTCATCAATTAAACTTGCTGCATCTTCCTTCGACTTGATTTCAGCTGATGCAGGACCCACTTGCTTTTTCAAGTATTTAACTATACCATCAGCTTCTCGTGGACCTTTATAGTCTTCAACAAGGTTTCCACCATCACGTAAGATCTTAATCGTTGGGAAACCCTTGATCTGATACTGGCTTGCCAGTTCTTTGTTTGATTCCTCATTGGCATCAACTTTTGCAAGAGTCACAGGAGGGTCATGACTACTCAACAAAGATGCAGCTTTCTCATACTACAAAGAAAAATTGACTAAAGATTAAATCTTTACACATGAAATACTAACATGCTAAGAAATGATATGTGCAATGACTATGTCCCACTTATAACACTTAAGATGACATAACGGTTACCTCTGGGGCAAGTCTCTGGCAATGCCCGCACCTGTTAGAACACCATAACATATTAGATCTTTTAATAGGGGCAACCATAGTTTGCTCACAAAGATGTAACAAAATAAATAAACTAAAACAGTTCAACAAGAGTACAGCATAACCATGCAATTTAAAGTTGAAATACGCCTCACGAAAGAAGGTGTATACTCTTCCCACAGAGGGCTGACACAATTGTGGACGTTGGATAAGAGGTCATGGTGATCGTGAGCCGTATGTATTGAATGAATGGTAGGGGGTCCCAAACATTGCTCCTCAGATAGCAGAAGCTGTTGTGCTAGATAGAACATCATCCCCCAAGTATCTACTCCTATACATAGGGAGTGTTTGTGATTGCTTCTACTTTAAAAAAGTGTTTTAAGTGATCTTTAAAGGAAGTGCTTAATAGTAACAGTTGGAACTTGGAAGTGTTTGAAAAAAATGATTTTTAAAAAGTAAAAGTCGGTAGCTTTTGGTAAAAAAAGTGTTTTTTGTATAATAGAAAACGTGAAAAATATTTAAAGCATTCATCCACCTGCTTCCTACTTTTAGCTGACACTTGAAAATATCAACTTCAACTTTTTTAAGCAAAAAAAACTGAAAAGCACTTTTTTATTTGTTGCATACACTCCCATAGTGCATTACTGATAAGTGATACCCCCCCCCCTCCCTGTTAAGAACTGGTGGATTGTGGCTGCAGAGCCTATGTTCATTGCAGTCATGGACTTTTATGAATACTAAGAAAATTATATCACTTAGAATAGCCCTTCAAAGTTCAGAGACGGGTGAAACTACTGTCAATAACCTAAATCCAATAAAATCCATACATTACCGTATGGATTTACCTCACATAGCAATAATAAAATCAATAATATAGTTTTATAAAAATTTAAATTTAAAAAGATATAGATCTGGATTTAAAAAATTGGATTGTTTACTGGGAAAAATAGGACGACCACCTAAGGATCAGGACCTCTCAATCCGATGGAGTACAAATGTCAAGGCATGCACATAAATATGCAAGATTTGATTTTTAGATAAAAACAGCAAAGTCACTCCCCAAACTAAACAGTCCGTACATAACAACAGCTTCACTCTAAAACGAACTGTCTAGGGTTGCATTGGAACTAGCTATTAAAATTAATTGACACAGGTCATAGCAAGTCAACTTTGGTAAAATGACACCAGCAGCAAGAACTATAAAAATCATGTATAAGAAATTCAATTTCCATGAGTTGCTATCAATAACGCAATCTAATTTTGAAAACGAAGACAAACTAAACACGAAATTGAAAATGCGCATCTTTAGAAATGGATATGTGGCTATGACGTATAGCCCCCTACATACCAAGGTGCATAGAATTCGACGACGATAAAGTTGTGCTTTGAGATAGTCTCGGAGAAGTTTGAGCGATCCAGAGTCAAAACGTACTCCTTTTCTTCCCCCTCCGCGGCGGAAACGGCCAGGAGGGCCGATAAAATCACCAAAATGGCGCTGAGGACCCTTTTCCTCGCCATGTTCAAACTGTAGAAGAGAGGTAAGGTGAAAGGATATTATTAGCTGATAGACAGTTTCGGGTGGATGAGGAATGCAATGCACGCGATATTTATAACGCCGGTGAGAAGGTTTAATCTCATTTTCGCCAGCTTTATTTAGTAAGCTATTGATTCGTAATCAATTTGGGTAACTTTCTTTTACCTTTTAGTGCAATTGATCCTCTGCTTTTAAAACAATAGTGCCACAAACACCTTGAATTTGCTTTACTGCCCTTTTAGAAGAAAACTAGGCATTACAACCTCAAACTCCTTAAATTCAATTTTAGGGAGTGTTTGGAATTACTCCCACTTTTAAAAAATGATATTCCCCCGTCCCGTTGAACTTTGTCAACTTTCCTTTTTTTGTTGCCCCAAAATATTTTGACATTTTCATATTAAAGCAACTAATTTGTTGTTCTTCACATTGCTCCCTACTCTACATAAATCTCAACCACACAATTTTAATTATTCTTATTTCTCACCTACTTTGCACTTGACAAAGTTTACTCGGACGTAGGTAGTATATTTAGAAATTAATTGAAAACAGACTAGTAGTAGAAGTTTGAGAAAAAGCACTTTTGTGTAGTGGAAAAAGAGAAAAGGAATTAAAAGCACTAACCCTTAATTTTTATCACCTCCATCCCGCTAAGATTGTGACAAGAGAAAGTGACATGTTTATTAAGAAAAATGGATTTGTGTGGTTGATATTAAATTGATAAAGTAAGAATAAAGTACAAATAGTTGGCCGGAAAAATCAAACGAAGGACCAAAACTAGGAAATATTCCATAGTTGTGCACCAAATCTCAGAAAAACAAAAGACAAAGAACTAAAATTGTCCCAACCACTAAAACTCATTCTTTCGTTTTTAACCAAGGGGAGGCCAAACACGTGGAGCTATTGGTTTCGTGTCTCGATGTAATTGGCTTTGACCTGTCACTATTGAATGTTGAAACAATTCCTACCCATTGTCTTCTCCTTTTCAAAAAAATTACTCCGTAGTATAATGAAATTTTATCAATTTGGGATCCGAAAGATAAACGAATTATCAATTCAAAACATTAAAGGTGGACTGTACGAGTGAGTGTGAGCTTTGTAAGAATGCTGATGAGACGCCTTTACACCTGTTTGCAAGGTGTCGTTGGAGGTTAGCCGACTTATGGGCTGGAAAAGGTTAGGGGAGAATTCAAATTCCTTTCTTGAGTGGCTTAAAGATCATTTTCAGAATTGCAGGGAGGAGGATCTGCGTGTGTTGGAAATCTGGACCGACTCAGACCTCAATCACCATTAGCCCAAGGGCTTGCTCACATTCACCACCAAGATTGCAAAAGGGAAGACGAAGGGCAACAATCAACTACCCTCACCCAGAGCCCAAACCAACCCAGAAGACCCATCGGAGAAGCAAACCCACCACACTACCAGACTAGAGTGAAGACCCCAATAGGAACCCCAAAGTCTCACCGGAGTATAGCCGGAGCTAAAACTCAGGTTGAAATGGCTCTCTCTCACGCTAGGTCTAGGGCAATCCACAGAAAAGCTCACCGGATAGAGAGAAGGGGGAGATGAATCAAATAAGCGGTTCTAGAAAGAACCAGACAATATAAGAGAAGGGCCACAGAAGTCACGGCCTTGGGCAAAGACAAAAGGGGTGAGTGGGCTTGGTCGCTGGACAACCCAAAATGGGCCAAGGCAATTAATAGGAGACCAACTCCTTAAATGAGGCGGACCAAAGACAGCACAAGGATGGCCCGGGTGAGGTGGACCAATACCATCATCAATCTCCACCTTATTGGTCCCCCTAGTGTTGTAGAGCTTAACTGTGAAAGGGAGTATCATCATCGCCGGTTTTGTACATGTTCTTATCTAGCCACAGTCTAAATTAAGAATACATTTACAAGATAACATGTTTTCAAAAGTAAGACATTTAGTTCCCATATCAGCAAGGTTAAATTCAGAAGATATCTTGGACAGCCTTATCCATCCTACATCAACAATATTCCTGATGAAGTGAAACCTGACATCAATGTGCTTGGTCCTGTCATGAAATACAGGATTTTTGCACAATTGAATAGCAGGCTGTCTATCAGAGTGAACTGTCATAGCCTGCTTAAGAAAACCAATTTCAGTTAGTATACGTTTCAGCCAAATGGCCTCCTTAAAGGCTTCAGTGGTTACCACGTATTCAGATTCAGTAGTGGACAGTGCAACAATAGGTTGTAGTTGGGATTTCCAACTTATGAAGGAACCACACAGAGTAAAAATATAGGAAGTAGTAGACTTTCTATTGTCTCTATCATTTGCATAATTGGAATCAACATAGCCAGTAAGTAAAATGCCAGTATCAGTTTTGGAAAACACAAGACCATGAGAATTGGTGCCCTTAAGGTACCTAAGCAACCATTTCAGGGCATTCCAATGTGACATCCTTGGGTTGGCCATATATCTCCTTAAGCAGCTAACAACATAGGATATGTCAGGCCTGGTGCTTACCATGAGATACATGACCGACCCTATTGCATTGGAATAGGGTACAGACTTCATCATAGCAATTCCAGGGCCAGTCTTAGGAGACTGATCCTTACTTAATACAAAATGAGGAGCAAGAGGAACATTAACAGGAAGGGCAGAATTCATGTTAAACTTTTTCAAGACCTTGTCAAGATAGGAGGTTTGGTTTAGGGTAAGGGTACATCTACTCCTATCCCTAATGATGTTAATCCCTAGGATTCTCTTAGCATCTTCAAGGTCTTTCATAGCATAGTTTTCACAAAGGCAATTTTGAACATTTTTAATAGCATTCACAGAAGGGCTTATGATAAGCATGTCATCAACATAGATCAACAAGAAAACAGGTACAGAAGCAGTATTCTTAAAATACAAGCAGTGATCGGAATCAGACCTTTTGAAACTCAGGGAAGTCATGCATTGGTCAAATTTTATGTTCCACTGCCTGGGAGATTGTTTCGGGCCATATAGGGCCTTCCTAAGTAGACAGACATGTCTAGGGTACTTAGGGTTAACAAAACCCTCAGGTTGGGTCATGTAGATCTGTTTATCTAATTCACCATGTAGAAAAGCAGTGGTAACATCCATCTGCTTCATCTCTCAGTCATTACGGGCAACTAGGGCAAGCACCATCCTAATTGTGGTAAATTTTACTACGGGAGCAAAAATTTCAGCATAGTCTACCCCTTCCTTTTGAGTGAAACCCTTAGCTACCAATCTGTCCTTAAACCTAATGTCATTATGTTCCTCTTTAACTTTGAAAAGCCATTTGCACTCAACAACTAAACAATTAGGAGTCCTAGGAACTAGGGTCCAAGTTTCATTCAACTTAAGGGAATCTATTCACTCTGCATAGCACTAAGCCAATTTTTAGATTCTCTAGAGGCAAGGGCTTCCTTGTATGTTTTAGGTTCATTCAATTCAAGAGTTTCAAAAACAGAGAAAAGTAAACAAGAAAGTATCATACAGATGAAAAGCATAGTCAGTCATGCTATCAAATATTTTCCTTATATTTCTCCTAGTCCTGTCTCTAGCTAACTGATAGTTATCTAGATTCTGATTCTCAGTATTCACTTCATGAAAATCATTGTTATCAGTAGAACCATCTCCAGCAAAAACATCATGCACATTCTCATTATGGTTATTAAACCGAGTAGGTTGCTCCACCTCACTAGAGGTGGAGGGGGTGTCATGCAAAGTGTTGGTCAAATCAGGAGCATCAGAAGATTCAAATTCATTAAATAGAGGGCAACAGTAGTCTGGATAGGCTCCACCTCACTGGGAGTGGTGCCATCAGAATTGAGTTCAGGGTCAGTCACATTTTTCAATAAACAAGGAAAATCAAATTCATTGAACACAACATTTCTACTTATTATGACTTTAAAACCAATCTGATTCCTATCCCAGACTTTATAGCCTTTCACACCTTCAGGGTAACCTAGGAATATACACTTCTTAGACCTAGGGTCAAGTTTGTCAGTCTGTTGGTGTACATAGGCAGCACACCCAAACACTTTTAGGTTTGACAGGTCAAGGGGTTTCTTAGAGAAGACAGACTCAGGACACTTACCATTTAATGGTACAGAGGGTGATCCATTTATCAGGTAGGTTGCAGTGTTCACAGCCTCTTCCCAAAACTTCTTAGGGAGACCAGAAGTGGCTAACATACTCCTAACCTTATCTAGGAGGGTCCTATTCATTCTCTCAGTCAAACCATTTTGTTAGGGAGTACAGGTCACAAATTTGTGTCTCCTAATCCCACACTCAGTACACAACCTAACCATGTCCTTATAACAGAATTCTAATCCATTGTCAGTTCTAAGGGTCTTAACCTTACATCCAGTTTGGTTTTCTACCATAATTTTCCATTCTTTAAACCTAACATACACATTAGATTTATGTTCTAACAAACAGACCCATACTTTTCTAGAAAAGTCATCAATTATGGACAGAAAGTACCTCCTACCCCCATGGGTAGGGACACTGGAAGGACCCCACACATCAGCATGTATGTAGTCAAGGACAGCTTTAGACTTGGGCTCATTAGGATAGCTAGAGGTAGGAAACTGGACCCTATGTTGTTTACCTAAGACCCAACCCTCACATAATGGTATAGGTGACACCAAGTCAGTTCCAAAACACCCAGATTTTTGTAAAATGTTCAAACCTTTATTTCTCATATGACCAAGTCTTTGGTGCCAAAGCACAGACTTATCAGTGAGTACAACATTAGCATTTTTAGAAAAAGGTTTAGCATGAACAACATACAAGTTATTCTCTTTTAAAGTTTTAAACACAACCAGAGAGTTTTCAGGATTTTCATACACTCATTCCCCCATTTTCCCTCAAGACTACATTATTCAAAAGCAGAAACTGAAAGCAGGTTGTGCCTAAGATCAGGGGCATGTCTAAAATTTTTTAATTTAAAAAAGTTCCATTTTCTAATTTAAGACTTATGTCACCCATGCCATGAACCTTACACTTCTTATTATCAGCTAGGGACACATAACTAGAATCACAAATACTATAAGAAGCAAACACAGTTTTAAAAGGAGTCATGTGGTAGGTACAACCAGAATCAATTAACCATTCAAGTTCAGTTAGGTTGCTTAGGACAGAATTAGCCTGATCACAGACCATGAACACTTCTTCACTAATTTCTTTATTGGTTACAGAGTTGGCATGTTCATCTCTTTTGGGTTGGGTACAATCTTTTATGAAATGACCTGGGTTCCCACGGTTATAACAAACTCTTTTCTTAGACTTACACCTTTTCTTACCAGGTTGTCTACTATTTTTATCTTGGTTATCCTTCCTTAGAGTGATTGCTATGACCCCTAGAGTGTTTTAAGTCTAGCTCTTTGCTTTTCAAACCATTAATTACAATATCTAGGGTTATCTCATCCCTCCCATATTTAATGGCAGACTTAACATCATTGTAGGAATCTGGAATGGCATTAAGAAGGACAATAGGAGTATAGTCGTCTATATGTTTATCCCCGTTCTGCTTAATATTTTCAATCAACTTATGAAAAATATCAAGATTTTCCTCAATGTCTTTAGTTAAATCAAGCCTAAATCTAAAGAATTTTTCAAGTAAAAACAGTTTCCGAGGTAGGGGGGTATCAGTGTAAAGAGTTTCAAGTTTATCCCACAATCCCTTAGCAGACTCTAAGATTCCAACTTTTCTAAGAACCGAGTCAGACAGATTTAGGTAGATGGTGGAACAGACTGTTTCATTCATCTCAGTTTGTTTAGACTTATCAACACATTCTAAAAACTGACCAGTGACAACTCTATACACTTTTTGTTGGATAAGGACACATTTTATCTTTTGTTTCCAAATATCAAATTCATATTTACCATTAAAGGGAAGCATACCGTACATATTGGAAGTCATGGTAAACAACGAACCTACACAGTTAATGAGCCAAATGTAATTTAGATGCTTAGCCCTAAGAGGTTAGGTTGCGGACTAAGGGACCACGCAGATCTAGGGCCACTGAGGTGGCTGGCAGGGAATCCCCTAGCCCTAACCTCAAGTGCCTTAGCCAATTAGGGTTTTACAGCCACTGTATTACAAAGGATCAGAAACCACAAGCACAAGTAAATAAGTATACTGGAAACAGACGAAGGTCACAACAACAAGGGCCAAAAACAAGCAAGATGCTCAGGTAATCACACAGATAATGGTGAGCCAAGTTCGACACAGATTGGCACCACCCATGCACGAGTTCAACAACCCTAGGGTTTCTGCAGTTCTGTATAGACAGATTCTGCACATGCAACACGAAAAGGGATCTAGGGTTTCTACCCGGTAGATCTAAAACCTAGGGTTTTAAGATCTACCCATGCAGCACAGAAGCCGGTGGCACTCTGGCAGCCCAAGGTTAGGGTTTTAGCTTTATATCTGAGCGGGTGTCCAGCAAAGACAACCCGACTTACCTATACCGATGGAGCTTCAGTCGTTGCCGGTGTGGGAGTTTTCCGGCGAGCTTCCGACGTGAGCGAGAGGCAGCAACATCCAGTCTCTGATACCACTGTTGGAAATCTGGACCAGCTCAGACCTCAATCACCAATAGCCCAAGGGCTTGCTCACATTCACCACCAAGGTTGCAAAAGGGAAGACGAAGGGCAACAATCAACTACCCTCACCCAGAGCCCAAACCAACCCAGAAGACCCACCGGAGAAGCAAACCCACCACACTACCAGACTAGAGTGAAGACCCCAATAGGAACCCCAAAGTCTCACCGGAGTATAGCCAGAGCTAAAACTCAGGTTGAAATGGCTCTCTCTCACTCTAGGTCTAGGGCAACCCACAAAGAAGCTCATCGGATAGAGAGAAGGGGGAGACGAATCAAATAGGCGGTTCTGGAAGGAACCAGACAACATAAGAGAAGGGCCACAGAAGTCACGGGCTTGGGCAAAGACAAAAGGGGCGAGTGGGCTTGGTCGCTGGACAACCCAAAAATGGGCCAGGGCAATTAATAGGAGACCAACTCCTAAAATTAGGCGGACTAAAGACATCACAAGGATGGCCCGGGTGAGGTGGACCAATACCATCATCAGCGTGCAGTGGTCTTAGGATGTTGGGGTGAACACAATAAAAGAGTGTGACAGGGCTCTGAATCTAGCGCACTCCAGGTTGTGTCCCAAACAAAAGCTTTGTTTAGGGCTGTTATAAGGCACAAAAGGGCAGAGAAGCTCCTAAGTCGCTGGTGCAGGCTGTGATGACTCGTTGGCAGCGCCCTTCGCCTGGGAGAATTAAGCTCAATATAGATGCTGGTATGACAGATTCAAAATGCGGCTTGGGCTGGGTGATTAGGGATGACTTTGGGGAATTTCTAGCAGGAGGTGCATGTTCAAAGTCAGGGGATAGTATCCCGGCTGAGGCTGAGTTAATGAGCATTCGGGAGGCTCTCAGTTGGCTCAAGGAACAAGATTGGGACTTCATTGATGTTGAATCAGATTCTTTGTAGGCTATTATTGAGATTCGCAAAGGTTCTAGCTGCTCGACGAGGGGACTGTTAGCTGAAGATATCATCCTTATGAGTAGGCATTTTTCTAATATGACCTTCTGTTATTTGAAGCATTCTGCGAATACGGTCGCACATACTTTAGCTCGGGCGGCGTGTTCTTTGTCTGATCGTTGTGTTTGGCGTTTTGACCCACCTGCTTTTATTACTCATGTACTCCATCATGATTTGATTAATAATAATTAAACCTTCTTTGCTAAAAAAATCACCGTAGAGGCGTCAAAAATTTGAACGGAGTGACACAAATGGTCAAGAAACAATAGTCGAATACAGATAGTGGACAAAACAAAACATAGGGACAATAGGAAATTGACATACAACTCCAATGATCAAAAGTGAAATTAACTCCTTAAATTACAAGGTCTCATTTGCAATGTAATCATGGGTCTCTTTTCACTTTTATACAAATTTATTTTCTTCCGAGCTCATACCACAACTAAACATACATGATATATCGCCTTCCCCAAATAATGTCTTCGAACCTTCTCTTTGAAATCTTTTGCAACTCACTGGCGGCTTAAAAATATGGTGTAAAAATGAAAAGAAATCAATTATTACATTTCGATAGCAGTGATAAATGGGGAAGAAAGATGATTGATTAACATTTAAAAGTAGAGGTGTCTTGAATCACTGTTAATTTAAAATAAGGCGGTAGTGTATGATTGCTAATAGTTGCTCTTCATTAATTAGTCGATATTACATGTATGTAACAGTGAGAGTTATTGAATGATTGTTTGATTCGGTATTCACGAAAGGGTATTCACGAAAGGTAGTGACGATTTCCTAATTTGTTCACTTCATGTCATCCTAGATGCATAAATGGTATTTTGTTTATTATTTAATTCACATACTTAACTACTAGTCACAATTTTAGAATTTCATTACGTAAAGACACTTTTTTATTTCTAGAATATACTACGTTTCAATGTTTTATTCATGCTACAAAAAATAACGAAATCGGCATAGGTTTGGCTTGAATTCGTCAAAATTCACAATAATTTACCATGGATTTGGGCCATTTGGCATGGATACGACAAATCCGTGTCAAATTCCCTGTCACACCGTTTTGTCACGAAATCATGTCAAAATAAGTTATGGTCCGTATCAAAATCGATCAATTCCTGTCAATATGGCAATACGGTTGTTTCTTGTAGTGACATAATGTAATGCCCATATTTAGAGGGACTAAAACATCTTTAATAAAAAAATATTACTATCATCAGGATTCAAAAAGTCGGACACTTCTTAATGAAGACTAAAGTGTGCACCCAATAATCCTTGAAAAAAGGATTACTACCAGAAGTGCGACAATAAGATTTCCCAACATAATGATATGATTTGGGTTGTCTATTAAGTTTCCCACCTTTTTTCCATCTTGTTTATCAAGATGAGTATGGTTTATTTTCACAAACTCCATGCATTGATTGCAATTTCTACACACAGTCAGGCATAAAAGTTCAAGTCATGTATTAGAAACTATACATACTTTTCGCCAATTTTTCGAAAAGAAAAAAAGAACTTAAATGCAGCTCAAGTTAGCTCAGAGTTGTTCAATTTGAAGCTGAGATGCTCAATGGGATCAAAGTCAAATTCAAATACTTGATGATAATTTCTACTTATTAAATGAAAATTGAAAATTTCTTTTATTCTATTAAGTGTTCACTTATTTAAGTTTGAGCTTTGATGTTTGAAGTTATTAGAACTTTAAATAAAATTTTAATACTTGTGTTTGATTTTTTTTACATTTTTATGAGGTAGAAAGCAAATAATGTGCTCATTTATTAGATGAGGAAAAAAATTATTCGAGAAATCGATAAAAATGAGTACCGAACCGTTTAGTATTGGTTCGGTTCCATAACGGTTCTTGATTTTTTACACAAGAACCGAACCGATTTCATTAGTTAAAACTTTTGTAACGGTTCCAAAAACAGATAACAGAAAAACCCGTTCTTGATTGGGTCTAAATAGGATTTGGGATATGATAAATACTTTGTATATAGATTTCCTGATCACCTTGGCTGCGCCGGCATGATCATCTTGGGAAGAAAAATCCACCTGATTATCCCTCCTCCCTGGGAACACCTAAACCGGAGAATAACATAGGAAATGAATCTGTAAAGAAAGATGAAGGAGAGCATGATGAGCACATTCCTCCATCTCCTCTCATCTCCATACCCTTCCTCCTTCATCAGCTTCTCCCCACTAACCACACATTTCCCGAACACCGCCTGCAGACACTTCTCCGGCCGGGAGAACTCGTTTATCAAGAACCCATCAAACGGATACTTAAACAGAGATATGTAATGCATGAAAATCCAGTACTTCGGTATCTCGTTCTTCGACACGAAGTAACCCGAGAACAGGAAGAAAGAGCCCATCACGGCCGACACAACCGAGTTCCCGATGATGAAGTTGGGGACCAAAGCGCTGAAACACACCACCACTGAGTTTGCAGTGTAGAGAATCAGCCATATCAGCGAGAGGAAATTGAGGTAAGGGGTGAACCCAGATTGGTTTAATCCAACGAGCCAGTACAGCGGGAGCGAGAAGAGAAGTGAGAGGATGAGGAGAAATGGGAGGTAGGCTAAGGCATTGGCTATGGAATAAGAAGAGACTCTGTAACTCCCACTAGATGTCTCTTTCATCAATATCTCCCTTTCCTGTAAAAATATTGGAAGAGCTTCTGTTGTGCTTGATAGCAGGAATGTCAATATGAATGCAAATAATCCCACCCTTTCTTCTGCCCCCAGCAAGTCATCTTCCAGCTTGTAGAAGATTGATCCCAATACTGCGCCTGAAATCAGCATTTGAACACTCCTGAATGCGAAAAGCTCTTTTGTTCTGTATATGTTTTTCCAGAACCTCTGAGTCAGAATCATCGTCTCCCTCGTCCTGGAATTCGCAAACCCAGAAATATAAATGAACTCTTCATCATCATCATCAGTGATGGCGGCGGATTCCTCGTCATCAACCACCTTGGATTGATGAAAGAGCTCTTGAAGGGTCTGGGTTGTTTTCAGCTCTGTTTTACAACTACTGTTTTGGGTTCCTTTTTCTTCTTCTTTATCTTCTTGAATGATTGCGTCAATGGATTCAATGGCGAACTCGAGGGCGTTGACGTGGGGAGGCGGGTGCAATCCCATGAGGCGCAGCCTCATCGTAAGCTGGTCGACGGTTCCATGGTGGAGGACAGTTCCGTTGGCCAGCAGGAGGATTGAGTTGAAGAGCTTCATGATTCTGAAACCGGGCTGGTGGATGCTCAGAATTACGGTTCTGCCCCGGGTCTCCGCCATCAGCTTCAGCATGTCGATGATTTGCAGCGCCGAAGTGCTGTCCAGCCCGGAGGTGGGCTCGTCTAGGATCAGAACTCTGGGGTCGTGGATAACCTCCACGCCAATGGAAACGCGCCGCCGTTCTCCGCCGGAGATCCCCCGGATTCTCTCCGCGTCGCCGACCCGAGCTCCGGCGACGTGGCTCAAGCCGAGTTCTTCAATCAGCAGCTTCACCCTCGACCTCAGCTCCCGTCCGGGGAGGCCCAGCCGGAGCCTGCCGATGAAAGTCAACGTCTCCTCGACGGTCAACAGAGGAAACAGGGTGTCCTTTTGCGTCACGTACCCCGACAGCTTCTTGAACCTCGCCCTGTCGACCGGCTTCCGGTTCAGGAAAATGGAAGCGGTCTGGGGTCGGATTTTCCCGGCGAGTATCTCCAGCAGAGATGACTTGCCGGCTCCGCTGGGGCCGACGATGGCGAGGATTTCCCACGGCTTGGCCCGGCAGCTAACATCCTTCAACACGACGCGAACTCCGGCGCAGCGGCGGGGTTGAGTGGAGCTCCGGCGTGGGTGTGAGGCAGTGGGGATAGTGTAGTTTATGCCTAGTGCTTCGACTTCACAGCCCTGTTTCTTCATTATTGGTTCCGGTGGGCCTACAGAGGAGAAGAGATAAATCTGTGAGGGAAACCATCCATTATTGGTTGGGAAATGGGATGGACGACCAACTGATGAAATGAAAGAGGGCAGTGCTGATTAACAGAGTTTGTTTGATAGCTTCACATGCATACAGCTTCACGTGATCATCATTCCAATATCTTATCTATCCCTAATCCCTCTCTACTCTATACACGATCTTATATGCGAGGGATCTATATATATACCGATTTGTATACGGAGTAAAGAGTATATTATATTGCATGTGATATTTATAAATATACCAACTCGATTCTTACTATTAATTTAGTACAATCGTTGGATTAATATGTTAATATGTCTCATTTGGCTAACGGTGTTAATACCCTTGGTAGACGTCAGTCCCCCGCATGTCAAAGTCCCTTTGATCGATGCACCCCCGCAGGTCGACGCCCCCCGCAGTCGAACCTCTGAAGGTCAACTTTCCCTTTTTGGTCTACTTCCTTAAGGTCGGTGCCATAAGTGTGGTCGATTACTCCTTACTCGGTATTCTGTTAGCCAACTCGGTCATATTAACGTGTTAATCTAACGAGTGTAATCAATTAACACTAAAAACCCGAGTTCGTGTACTTACGAATGTCAAATGCAACATAATGTACACAATTGACCCTTTCCTCATCTATATATAAGTTGTTGTACTCAACTGACCCTTTCCTCATCTATATACTACCTTTCTCCCCTCATATTGGGATAAGAAAGAGTTGTGCGTTTATTAAGAAAATTAGAATTGTGTATGATGGATAGTGTACCCGGGGGTAGCTTATCCGAGGGGTTATTGCGGAGAATGACTAGAGAGAAGTCAGAGCAAACAAGTAAGAGAGAGAGTGTATATTCGATATGTATTAAGCGTGGTTTACAATGGGGGAAAGGGGTGCTATTTATAGTGGTAATAAATGCTAGATAAGGACACGTGTCAGTTTTCTGGTGGTCGAGGGGTCACCTCGACCGGGGTGGCACTGGCACTCGCATGTGGCCGCATTAAATGCGGTGGTTGGATGTGACATTTGTACTTGGTACGGTGATCAAGGCGCATGTGAAGAGGATATTATGTCGAGGTGGATGCCCAAGGCTGAAGGGTGCTGGGCCGAAGGCTCTTCTAACCGAGGGCTCCTACCTGCCGAGGGCTGCAGGTGTCGAAGGCTTGGTTTTCAAGCCTTGTTCTCCTGTTATGCCTCTTCTAACCGAGGGCTCCTACCTGCCGAGGGCTGCAGTTGCCGAAGGCTTGGTTTTCAAGCCTTGTTCTCCTGTGATGTTTCTGAGCTCGATTCCATCACTGGTAGCCTTCGGCCATAGGGCCGAAGGCACCCCTTTGCGTATTGTGGGCTGCTCAGAGCTCCATTTTGCTGGACTTGGCCCGTTTGGGCCTGTTGGGCCTGATTGTAGTAGAGGAAGTATGTGGGCCGGGGGTCCCTGGGCCATATACTCCATCAGTGTAGTTCATATTGAATTGGTAAAGTATCATGCGGAATCCAATGGCCAGCGGACGAATCACCAAGTGGTCCTTGATGATCGGCCAGTACAATGTAGAGTTCAATCCTAGACCGACGATCAAAGGGCAGGCATTTGCCGATTTTATTGCTGAATGCACCACCCGTACGGAGGAAAAGTCTCATGCGGAAAATTATTTCAACAACTGGTGGGAGGTGTACACTGATGGGGCCTCAAGTGCGCGCGGATGCAGCGGCGGAGTTGTGGTCACTTCCCCCAAAGGATTCAAGGCCTACTGCTCAATGAAGATTGGCTTCAAGGTCACCAACAATGAGGCACAGTATGAAGCTCTCATCGCTGGATTGAAATATGCCAAAGGGCTTGTGTAACACTCTACCTAAGTGTATTTACTTTTATGTAAATAATGTATTGAACCTTATGAAACGGTTAATGAATTTACAAGGTTGTAAATTTTTGTTATTACTTTTACGTGAATAGTAAACTGCATATGGGGCCCACACCGGGAACGTGGACCACCCGATATTCCGGGACCACATATGATATTCATCTTGGTCTAAATAATATATATGTGCATTTCTTTAACTATAAATGTGCATTTCAAGTGTGCAAAAGCGTACACGCAAACGTGCACATTAGAATTTTGGGTGCGGTTCCGGTGAGAACACTTCTTAACGTGAGAAATGAGAACGCTCCAAAAAGATGCACTTTATCATTCACGAAAATGCACATTTATAGTTAAAGTAATGCAAAATTCTAATGTGCACGTTTGCGTGTACGCTTTTGCATACTTGAAATGCACATTTTCCAATTTTTTATATGCATACTTCTGTTTTACTTGATGCACAATGCCAAAATCCAAATCTCCAGAATCATTATCATTTCTCACGTTAAGAAGTATTCTCAAAATGACCCAAAAAATGCACTAAATTTGATCCAAAACGCGGTGGCAAAACAAAGTGAGAAATAATCTCGTGCATTCATTTTCAGATCTAGTGGCTCAAAATGAGCCAAAAATGCACTAAATTTGATCAAAAATGCGGTGGTGATTTCGTAAATAAACCGAAGTTTTCCACGTGAGTGGGGGCCACCCCACGTTTTTAGGGACTCAATGTGACTTATTGTGGCTGGAAGAGTGCAATGACTGATGGGAAGGACAAGAAAAGTCTCCTAGTGACCCTTTTTCACATTATTTTGCCCAGTAAGAGAAGACATGAGCCTCTCTATCCTCTTCCATCCAATAGCTCGACCAAGCCTCTAAAGGAAAGAGAAAAACCTCTACAAACATCACTGCCTCCATTGTTGAAGGAAGCTCAACAAACAAGAAGCTCAAGGAAGGAGAAAGATTTGCTAAAATAGAGAAAAAAAACTTGAGAATTAAGGTGAGAAGCTTTTTATTAACTTTTCTACCTTATTAGATTTCTCATATGACTTATATGACATACGAAGGACGCTTGGTGAACTTCAATCCAGGTAGGGCCAAAGGACAGCACATGACCTTCGACTGTGCGATCCATACCTACTATACGGATCCGCATCCTTATGCATTATAGAACATAGTCCCAAGCTTGGTGGATGCTCGTCCTCAACCCCTGGAAGACGAGCAGAACCTAGTTATTGGCCCATCGAGGATCTAGACCTAGCTCAACAGGACGCTCGTTCGATTCTTTGGCGGGAAATCAAGATATTGTTGGGAAGCGCATTTAATGCAAGAAATTTGGTGGTTGGGAAGCTATCCAACCATCATCATCCACATCAGCAATATCACCTACCCCATGGTAGTATAAATAGTACCCCCCTCCGTCCCCTTATAATCATCTCATTTTTCCATTTTTGGATGTCCCCTTATTATTGTCTCATACCATATTTGGTAACATTTATGTGGCTCTAATTTATTCTTACTTTATTCCCACTTTATCAACTCATTACCAACCACATAATTCTACTTTTCTTAAAAACCATATCACTCCCTTCCGTACCAATATCAGGGGGACGGAGGAAGTAGTGTTTATTTCATTGTAAAGGGTTGACAACTCGTACTATAGAGCAATAACAATTACCCCCCCCCCCCCTAGTACGGCTAGACGAACGGCTTCGGGCCTTGTAGTAAAGTGTGTTGTAACGGATTCTTTATTGTTAAGTCAATAAGAAACAACTCATTTACTACTCTTGCTTATTGTATCCCCCTACTTGCTTGCATCATACTATCCACTCGAAATCCAAAGGGAGGTGTTCGGGCTTTGGGTTGAAGAAATAAACCTCAACACTACTGAAATTGGTAAAATTTTGATTGAACCTTTTTAATTGGTTGAATCTTCTAAATTATTATTAAATTATATTCAGTTATATTTTATTAATAAAATAAAGTAAAATTTATGTGAAAATAGTTATCATCGTCCATTTCAGCCAATTCATCCTGAAAAGTAACTCAAACATCATTTATTTTGTTTGTTACATAATTAAGAGCATGAAATCAAAAGCTACGTATACATTAAAAAAACTATTAGTAGTTAATTAATGAAAAATAGAGGTTATCAAACGGGGTAATAGATATGATATGCCAATAATCTAATCGTCTAGATAAGAAATTTTCTCCTTTTTATATATCCATTCCTTACTTATTAGTAATAATGTTAATGTGTTAACCACATAACACTTTCGGCCATAATGGAACTAAATGAGTCATATATTTGGAAACATATATTTAATGTATCAAAATATGCCTAAGCCGCAGTGACATCATCCTGGTTAGTGTGGCACTCACCTCAACTGGTGACAGTGTTCTCAGCACCCATAGTGACCTTCAATGTTTTAGTGACCTTTGACATCCTAGTGACCTCTGACACCTCAATGACACCCTTGATTTTCTAGTAACCTTCGAATGTGGGTTATGTCTATCATCTAGTTGTGTATTAGAGCATTTCCAATGCAATAGGTGCATGCATTGAAGCTGATGTGGCAAATAAATGGATAGAGTCTGTTTAAAATCAGAAGGTCCATTCGAATGGGTCTCCAATGCTAAACAAAAAGTAAATTTAAAACACATGGGCAACAACTTGTACGAAAGAGAGGGGGTGAGACCCAATGTCCCAATGTAGACTTCCTCTTGGAGCTTGGTCATTGCCAACTAGGATATACCTCTTTTTTGCATTGGAGAGTACATTGGGTCCATTGGGTGAGGTTGATAACACATATTTTGGCAATCCATTTGCTCATTGGAGATGCCCTTAGGGTAGTGAGATTTTTTCATGTCCATTAGGAAAGGGAGTTTTTTGTGTGGTTCATTGTCTATCATCAAATTGGTAAAATCAGACTGAGACAACTCAGATGGAGTTCAGAGGGTCAACTCGGTCAATAATTGTTCTGCTTAATATATACTCCCTCCCAGGGCCGGCCCTGGCCATGTGCTCCAAGTGCAATGACACATGGCCCAATCACTTAATTGTGCAATTGAAGATAAGCCCGTTTGGTATCACGAAAATCGGGTGATTCGGGTTATTATGCTGAAATTTATGAAGTTCTGACTGAAGTAGCTGCATTGACTGATTCTGCATATTTAAGAAACAATTATTTTTAAAATACATTTTATTAATAAAATAAAGAAAAAATTATATGTAAAAATAGCTAAAATGGTCATCTACAGTAACTTCAGCCAATACAGCTAGAAAAGTGACACCAACCTTACTTTTTCTTATTATTACATAATTCAGTGCGCGAAAAAAGTTACGTGTTTGATATAAAACTTAGTTGATAAGCCTGATTACCAAACTGCCTCTAAATTTATTATT